ACGACGAGATTTGTGGTTTGCTCTCTTTTTTAAGCATTTTTTTGCATTCTAGTGGCTAAAAATGACAAATGAAGAAATTACAAATGTAAATAATCAAACAAATATGTAGAACTCAGTTAAAGCACAACCGAATTAATAAATAGATCAAATCTTATCAAAGCTGCATCATTCCTTCACATGCACGGGGATGCATCCTCTTCTTTGTAGTAATTTCATAATGGCAGTTTCATTTTTGTCATTTAAAAATGTAAAAACAGACAATAACGAATGCACGAGAACACTTATCTCGCTATATTAAAAGGTCTGAACGCAAAGAATGTGTAGGGAACGGCTGTTTACTCTAGATGTTGATTTAATATCTTGAAGAATGCATAATTGTCCTTCCTCCAGTTTGCATCATCCTCAGTTTGTGTTCAGATGTTTACCTGTGAGCCGTTCTGACTCCATGTCCGTCTGCAACAGCCTGAGAGGAAATACACAGAATAAAGCAAAAAATGAAAATCAACCAGAAATGACCGAAGTGGGTTTTTCTTTTGCAAAGGAAAAAGGATTCAAATACAGCAGACAAAATGGAAAATCGGCACCTGGCTATTTTGTTCCTAATTTTAAATAAACAAAAACAACGTTTTAAAGCTGAAACGAAAATGTTCAACGAAATAAAGCAGAAATTTTAAAATGTGAAGTAAAATTTTTTGGACATTTTTCGAGTTAACAGAATTCTTTACCGACCATGGAGGCGCGCGGGTGTCGTGAAGCAACTCTGCTCTGTCGGGAGCGCGCCACGCAAAACTGCCCGTGAGGGTACGTGGTGCACGCGCACACATGACCGGTGGCGGCCAACAGCGGTCGGAGCTGGCTCGTAAAACGGTTTTACGACCTGTGTGTGTGTGTGTGTGTGTGTGTGTGTGTGTGTGTGTGTGTGTGTGTGTGTGTGTGTGTGTGTGCGGGCGCACGCGTGCGCGTCACAGAAATGGGCAGAATGCAAAAAATGGAAAGGTCTCTCTCTCTCTCTCTCTTTTTTTTTTATTACACACGCGCGGCAGCAGCAATGCAGACCATAAACTCATTTTTTCTCCTAAGTTGGTATTTAAGGGGATGAAATAAATTAAATGAAAGTTAACCGACACCTTAGAATATTAAACTGAAAAACGTAGTGAGATAATAATAAAAGAGGTGAAAAGGTCTGCACGGTTGTGAAGCAAAATCTTTTTAACTGAAATTGTGGGATATAAACTCAGAGGGAATAAAAAAAATTTAAATAAACAAATAAAACATTTTCTCTTACTTTTGACATTTGTACATAAAAGTGTGTTTTCATTTGTTCTCAAAGTGAGTCTTGATTTTATTTATTTTTTATTTTTTTGTGAGAACGACTTGGACTTTTTGGGATTTTGTCCATTTTCATTGTAGTTGGTTGTTGAATAAAACGATTCTTTCCACCGCAACTTTGACCAAATCCTTTGTCCGGTAATCTGATGATTTTTAAAATAAAAAAATCTCAATTTCTTTTTAATTTAAACCCACTTTTAAGCTTTAATTTTCTTCGTCTGCTTGTTTGTGTCAATAATCTGAAAAACGGACAACTTTTGTGCATTTCCTTTCATTTCAGTAGAGATGTGACTTATTTTTATAGCAAAAACTCAAAAGTCGCGTGATTCTGAAGGTGCAAGAACAGCTGGCGACCGCCTATGTTATTGAATTAAAGTAATGGGAATATATAATTAACCATTTTTAATGCAAAACTCAGTAAAGTTAGACTTAAAACTTAGTAAAATAATTGTATCTACTTATTTTCTGTTTGGACAAATGTTCAATTCTTTTATAAAGAGTCAACATAAATAAAAAGCTAACAGCAGTTTTATTTTTATACAAACGGTTTCAAGCTTTTGAATGATTAAAAAACTATTTATGCTTTAATGCAACACATTTTTGTTTTGCACGTCTTTGATGCTCTCAAACTGGTATTTCTGTTTCTTCTTCACCTTCAACGCCGTCCGTCTTTCTAAAGACCAAACAAGTTTCACAAAGCCAAAGGTGGACTTTCACATGATGATGATTTACTTTTTTAATATTAGTTGAACAGATAATCTTGTGGTCTAAATTGATAACACGTTACCAGACATATGTTTTGATATTTATTTTAATCAATCGGTTTTATTTCAACGCTGAACGATTAAATGCTGTAACGAGATACACATTTTGAAATTATTTTCTTTAAGATAAACCGTTCAAAAGTTTTTTTCCCAAAAGTTGTTTTCTTTGAAGAAAAGAACAAAAACAGCTATTAATAAAATATGTATCAGACTAATTTTATGACTAAACGAATAAAAGATTTGTGCAATCTTAAAGAATGACGTCATCCGTCTCATTTTCTCTCTCAAACCGCTGCGAACAGAATGCAGAGCGAGACAACACCCCCACCCAGCGGAACCCTGGTGTTACTACAACCTGCAACTATTTGGCTTGCCTTTGATCCTAGTTGCATGAAAACAGACCCGCTGCTTTATTTAATAGGGTTAGTTTGTAAACATTTAATTATTTGTGATTCATAGAAAACTTTTTAAATAAATGACTTTCATTTCTATTTGTAACAGCAAATGTTATCAATTCAAAATTATACACAGGATAATAAATTTTGAGTTTATAAAAAGAACCCCTTAAAAAAAGCATTCATCTTTGTTTAACTTTGCACAGAGTTCTGTAATGTTTTACTCTGATATGTGGAATTATTGGCGTTTTAGTCCCTATGAGTTTTAAACATTTTTCTAATGGATTTAATTTAACCCACTTGATATGGATCTAATTGTGTGTCTCTAATAAAATGAACAAACACATTAACACATAATAAAGTTAGTGAACTGTATTTATTATGTGCTTAACTATTATTTAGGCGGTTCAATTAAATGTAACTTGTCCCTTTCTTAAAACATTTTCCTGTAATTCTTAATCTATTCTCTTGCTCTCATTTTAATTTCCTGATCCAAATTTGATTCATAAAAGCAAAATTATATTTAGTTTATTATTTATTTAGTTTATTATTGCTTATTATTTTGAGAGGAAAGTAATCTCAGGAGCGCCCGTTTTCAACACCATATATTACCTTTTTTTGCCATGCACGTGACTATAGTTATCGTTTTCCACAGACGTACACATTGATAATTTTTAAATAGTTTAGGTTTCAATCCATGTTTTGTGAATTTTCATTTCTTTTTCAAATAAATCTCCATTAAGCCCCGCTGTGTTTGATTAGGAAGGCTGTGGCTGTATTTTGCTATTCTCATTATTATTAATCCAACGTATTTTTGGAGGCTTCGTTTACAAAAACAATGAATGAACAGCTGCATTTTATCAATCATTCTTGGACTAAATAATGGTAAAACAAAAATATCGACAAGGTGGGTTTTTTATTTTATTTTTATTTTATTTTTACTGGTTTGTAGTTAAAAAAAAAACTCGACACCAACACTAAAACTAACCCTAAAAACAAATTGAAGTTTTTGTTGTGGGGCTTCACGTTTATTTAGCCTAGCTCATCTTCCTGTAAATAAGAATAAAACCGTTTTACAGTCCTGAGTTTTTGCTTCAGGTTGTTTAAACACAGACGCCATTTGAAAAAACAATGTTAACAATTCCATGAATAAAAATAAAACATTTACCTCAATTTTGGCCCATTTCAGATTAAATGTACAGTTTATAATCCAGATAATGACATAATAATTAAACAAACGCTGACTCACAGACTCAGAGCGGGTTAAACGTCCTCCTGATTTCATTTCCTGTGTTTTGTTTTCTCCGTCTGTAAAAACGAGACAGAAGCTCGTCTGGCCTCAACAGACAATGACTTTAAGGCAGGAAAAGAGCGTCCAATAAAACCATCCAGTGTCTGGCCTAAATGACTCCATGGAGCCGCGGCGTTTGCGTCTTTGTGTCTCGAGTTGGGCGGAAAGTCACGTTTATTCTCCAAATGCATGTTGTTGCTTTATGGCCTGCAGTCGGGTGGGATTAAATGGCCTCAATAAACGAGGAAAACAAGAGGAGCTGCTCTGACTTTGACAAAAACGTGGAGATGGAGTTATGTGGAAAATAAATAACAAAGATATTAAAGGATATAAGATAGGATAAGACTTTATTGATCCCACAGTGGAATAGAAACAAACACATTTTAAATCAGATTTTTCACTGAAGGTTAAGAAGGAGTTATCTATATTAATCATGATCTAAGTTTAAAGCAAACAACATAGTTAATCTTATGCTAGAATTTGAATTTTCCATACTTTGATATTTTTTATTATTTCTATTAATTGTATGTATTAATATTTTTCTGGAGTGTGTAAGAATGTATTGAATTTAATATTGAACCTTTTGACTGTAATCATCAGAAATGATTACACTAAATTTATATTACTTTTTTACACTTGATTTATACTGGTTCCACTAAACCTAACATTTCATTTATTGCGATTAGCTTTTTCCAGTAAAATTGGCTGTGATAACAAATATCAATAGAAGGCAAAAATGGCTAATTCAATCACTTTTGACAAATATGGAGCTGGAATGTGTTTTGGTGGTAGCTGACAGTCAGTTTCCACAAAGACCCAAAAACCGTCTGCTCAGAGCATTTTCACTGGCTGAGGAGAGGTGCAGATCCAGATGTGGAGCTTCTGAAAGTTTCCACATGGAGTCTATTTTTCCAGTTGCCTCATGCTGAATTTCATGAAGTTAAAGAATTAAGACTGGAAGTGAGACGTAAACAGCAAGAGGATTCGGTAGCCTATATTTCAAAATAAAAGCCACCTCACATTTTTTCCTCTGCTTTTTTACAGCAGCAGGAGCCATGGGTTGTCCAGTAATCAGAGGGTTGCAGGATCAATCCCTGCAGGTATCTCTGCCCTTGAGCAAGACATTTCATTCTGCTTGCCTGCTGGGGGAGGTCGGAGGGACCAGTGGTGCCTGTGTTCAGTAGGTTCTCCTCTGTCAGTGTGCCCCAGGGCAGCTTTGGCTACAACATAGGTCATCACCACCAGTGTGTGAATGTGTGAATGTGTGTTCACTGTAAAGCTCCGAAAGGCCCGATACGTGTGAAGGTCATTTAACATGATAATAAAAATGGGTCCATGAGCACTTCCAGCAACAAAGCTGTTTCAAAAAGATGCCTAATATTCACCAATATATGCTGTCCGCACACATGCTTAACAGGAAGAGGTTCATCTAAATCAGGTGCTTGAGGGCTACCATCCTGCTAGTTTTCTGTGTTTCCTGCTCTACCACACCTGAATGGGGTAATTTCACCCTCTCCTTAACTCTGCACGGGCCTGTTAATTACTCATTCATTTCAATCAGGTGTGTAGGAGCAAAGAAACAGCTTAATAGTGCAGTAGGTGACCCCTGATCGAAACAATAGAATCCAAATTTTGTATCTCAACGACACCCAATAACAACAAACTGCAAAATCATCCTATCTTAGCTCCTGTTTCTTTGCCTGAGCTAACCAAAACGTTAACTCTATGAAGACCTCTGCAGTCCATCGGTCCCAGCGTGCTCTCTATAATTAATGCTTCTCTGGTTTCTGGTCAGGTCCCTGCTTACTTTAAGAACGCTGTAATCCACCTGCTTCTTAAAAAACCGAGTCTCGACCCCTCTCTCCATAGCAGCTTCAGACCCATCTCTAAACTTCCGTTCATCTCCAAAATCTTGGAAAAGGTTGTGGCTAAACAACGCAGCTGCTCTTGATGAACATATCTATGATAGCTTCCAGTCAGGTTTTCGTAGAGCTCATTCTACTGAAACAGCTCTTCTTAGGGTCTCTAATGACCTTCTGACTCACAGTGATGCAGGGGACTGTTCTGTTCTGGTCCTGCTGGACCTGACTGCAGCCTTCGACACTGTTGACCATCACCTGCTATAGGACTGGGTAGGCCAATCAGGAGCTGCTCTGGAGTGGTTCTCCTCTTATCTTTCTGAGCATTCCCTTTCTGTGGCTGTCTCCAAGTTTAGGTCCTCCACCACCACCCTTACCCATGGTGTCCCACAAGGTTCTGTGCTGGGGCCTCTGCTCTTCCTCCTCTATCTGCTTCCTCTTCAGCACATCCTGAGCTCCTTCAAAGGAATCTCTTACCATCTTTATGCAGATGACATCCAACTGTACATCTCCTTTAAGCCCCATGAGATGTCTAAGCTGCAGCTGTTACACACCTGCTTAGACTCTATCAAAGCCTGGATGGCTGGGAACTTTCTTCAGCTGAATGAAGATAAGACTGAGATCCTCATCTGTGCCCCAGACAAGCTGGTTCCCAAAGTCAGAGACTCTCTTGGTCAGTTTGCTTCTCACACCAAACCTTCTGTCAGGATTCCTGGCGTGACCTTTGACCCAGCCCTCAACCTGGATTCTCATGTCAGATCTCTTGTACGCTCTTCCTTCTTCCATCTCAGGAACATTGCTAAGCTGAGTCCCATTCTGTCCCACTCTGTCCCGCTCTGAACTTGAGACAGTTATCCACACCTTCATCTCCTCACGCTTAGACTACTGTAACTCTCTTTTCACGTGTCTGAGCAGAACCTCCCTGAACCGTCTACAGGTGGTTCAGAATGCCTGTGCTCGGCTTCTGACCAAGTCCTCCAAACACACACACATCACCCCGCTTCTCCTCCAGCTTCACTGGCTGCCAGTCAACTACAGGGTTTGTTTCAAGATCCTGGTTCTGGTCTATAGGGCCTTACATGGACAAGCACCATCTTACATTGGTGATCTTCTTAGTCCCTACACCCCCAGCAGGTCCCTGAGGTCCAGTGATCAAAGCCTACTGGTTGTGCAACGCACCAGGCTAAAGACCAAAGGTGACAGATCATTTGCTGCTGTGGCCCCCAGACTCTGGAACAAGCACCATCTTACATTGGTAATCTTCTCGGTCCCTGCACCCCCAGCAGGTTCCCGAGGGCCTGGTTTTTGCCTGACCTTCATCACCACCCTCTCCTTATTCTGCTCTTTTTACCAATTCCACTTTTCCCTTGATCCACCGATTTCCCTCTTTCCTATTCATTTTCTCTCTCCTTTTCCTTAAATTTTTTAATCACAATTTTATTTTTTGTAATTTTAAGCATATTTTTTATTTTTCAGCTTGTTTATACACTGCTCACAAAAATTAAAGGAACACTTTAAAGAAACACATTAAATACATCAGATCTCAATATGAAGTTGGATATCTATATAAATAACGACAGGGCAATGTCTTAGGAACAAAAGGATGCCAAGTCTTTTAATGGAAATAAAAGTTATCAGCCTACAGAGGGCTCAATTGTGTAGACACCCTAAATTTGGAGTGAAATGAAGATGTGGCAGGCTAGTCCATTATTTCAAAAACTTAATTTCTGCAACTCAAATTGCTTTTTAGTAGCTTGTGTGGCCCCCAAGAGCTTGTGTGCATGCTTGACAACGTCGGGGCATGCTCCTAATGAGACAACGGATGGTGTCTTGTGGCATTCCCTCCCAGATCTGTGTGAGGGCATCCCTGAGCTCTTGTACAGTCTGAGGAGCAACCTGGCGCCGCCTAATGGACCGAAACATAATGCCCCACAGATGTTCTATTGCGTTTAAGTCAGGGGATCGTGAAGGCCATTCAATTGTTTCAATTCCTTCATCCTCCAGGTACTGCCTGCATACTCTTGCCACATGAGGCCGGGCATTGTCGTGCATTAGGAGAAAACCAGGACCTGCTGCATCAGCGTAGGGTCTGACAAAGGGTTCAAGGATTCCATCTCGATACCTTATGGCAGTCAGAGCACCATTTCATAGGCAGTAGAGGTCTGTGTGTCCCTCCATGGATATGCCTCCCCAGACCATCACTGACCCACCACCAAACCTGTCATGTTGAACGACGTTGCAGGCAGCATAACGTTCTTCTTGTCTTCTCCAGTCTCTTTCACGTCTATCACAGGTGCTCAGGGTGAACCTGCTCTCGTCTGTAAAAAGTACAGGGCGCCAGTGGCAGACTTGCCAATTCTGGTGTTCTTGAGCAAATGCCAGTCGAGCTCTACGGTGCTGGGCGGTGAGCACAGGGCCCACTACAGGACGTCGGGCCCTCAGGCCATCTTCATGAAGTCTGTTCCTGATTGTTTGGGTAGAGACATTCACACCAGCGGCCCTCTGTAGGTCATTCTGTAGGGCACGAGCAGTGCTCAGCCTGTTCCGCCTTGCACAAAGGAGCAGGTATCGGTCCTGCTGTTGGGTTGTGGACCTTCTACGGCCCTGTCCAGCTCTCCGAGAATACCGCCAGTCTCCTGAAATCTCCACCATGTTCTGGAGATTGTGCTGGGAGACACATTAAACCTTCTTGCTGCAGCACGTGTGGATGTGCCATCCTGGAGAAGTTGGACAACCTGTGCAACTTCTGTAGGGTTAAGGAATCGCCTCATACTGCCAGTAGAGAGCCAAAACTAGCACGAGTGGAAAACCAGCCGAAAAAGATCAAGAGGGAGAAACTTGAAATGACCTCTACATGTTAAACCAGTCCTGTTTTGAGGGTTTTGTAATTGTTGCCACTTTAGTGCACCTGTCGTTAAGTCCATGAACACCAATATAGCTGAAAGTGATTAACAATGTCCTCAGCTGCTTAATCAACCAGGAAATTATCAGACAGGTTTAATTGATTTCATGCCAGGCCCAATAAAAAAAGGAGTGTTCCTTTAATTCTTGTGAGCAGTGTGTATTTAAACTGATGACATCTTTGCTATTCATTCTTCTTTCCCCCTCCTCACATTTTAATCACAATTTTTTACTTTTCTAATTTTTGATATTTTCAAATCTTGTTTATTTTTAAAATTTTGTTCTTGTAAAACTCCTTGACATTTTTATCTTGAGAGGCACCATAGAAGAGTTCTTCTTCTTCTTCTTCTTCTTCTTCTTCTTCTTCTTCTTCTTCTTCTTCTTCTACTACTACTTCTTCTTCTTCTTCTTCTTCTTCTAAATGAAAAGCAAAACAAAGCTCAACTCATGAAGTCAAAAGCATAATTTCTGGCTTATCTTTACTGGTTTATGGTCATAATGATGCTTGTCAGAAAAATCCACTCAGTTCGTGTAATCCTATATGTCCCAGCATCACACTGAGCTGATTCCTGACTGTTTAGGGCTTTTGTTTACCTGCTGGAGAGTGTTTACAAATACACATTCCATCATTTTTTAGTTCTCCATAATAAAGAACTCCACAATGTGTACTCAGCTGCTCTACAACAACAACAAAAAAAGAAAAAGAGAATGGTGAACTGTGGAGAGCTTGCGGTTCCAGGTGGACATCCTGATCTGAGGTTAGGCTCCGCCCAGTTTCAGTCGCAAACGTCTGCGCCCAAAGGCTCTCCTATTCTTTGTACTGGATGGGGATCCAGCACGCATGTGCAAATTATAGAATAGGTTGATGTAAAGAATGCTGGCCCCGAAAAGGAACAGGAAATACATCACAAGACTATTTGATTGTGGTTCAGGTGTGCGAGGATATTTTTATATTAAACTTAAATACAGATTATACACAGCACTTAGAGTCTGTTTGATGTATTAGTTTAGTTTATGTGGCAGAGCGCAGGAAGGGGTTGGCAGCCCGAAGATGAACACCAGCTGCCAATTGACAATAAGCCGGAGGAGGATGATAAGGGCCGGTGCCGCCGAAGGAAGAGGAGAGAAGGAGCAGACGTGAGGAGCCTGTGTGGCTCAGGGTCTGCTGAGGAGTGTGACAACTTTGCGATTCCCTGAACGGGTTAATAAAGTTGTGTGGCAGTGAAAACTTTGTTGGGTTGTGCGTATGTGCACCCCGGAGTAGCTGAGACTGGTACATTTTAACTTTTTGTGCTTCCTATCTTCTTCTTTCTCTTCATTTGAAACTGGTGGAGCAGTCCCCTAGCGCCCCCTATGGACGAACCACCACTGAGTAATTCACATGCACTTTCCACACAACAACATAAAACTGTTTAGTGGAACGAGTCGACATAACTTGGATAAGTTAATTCAACGTTTCATTGCTTACAGTGAACTTTGCATTACCATTTGGCGTCAAAAGATGTAATGGGTTTAAGTGAAATCTACAATATAAATTATTTTCAGGGTGCGCATGTAAAAGGCTATCATTTCTCAATAAAACATGATCTTGGTAAAAACCCTGGTGAAGGTGGACGATCCCGTGTTAAATACCCTGAAGTTTGTGTGTTTTTGTGCAAAAAAGTGCCACAATTTCATAGAATAAAATTCACACAACACACATAATTAACCATTTATGCTGTGATCACTTATTTCATTTTATTTAAAAAATTCACAATGAGCAACATATTGATGACAGAGCCTGCTGTTTTCTGTTGATCTAAAGAAAAAAACACTAAAAATACTTTTGAAATATTCTTAGAATAATTAGTGGAATGATCCTGTGGTGGTTTTGTACCTCAGACTGGATAGTTGTGCGTGGTTTCCTCACATGATTCTCATAAGGAAAGTTCTCCATCAGCCTCCTGTAATGCCTTAGCTTAGCGATGACTGGTGTGTGTGTGTGTGTGTGTGTGTGTGTGTGTGTGTGTGTGTGTGTGTGTGTGTGTGTGTGTGTGTGTGTGTGTGTGTGTTTATGATTTATGGTGCAATGTATCTGAGCCACAGTAACAACAACAACAATGACAACTACATCAGTAAACAACAATAACAACAAATAGAAACATGCACGATTAGAGAACAACAAGTTAAAGTCTCTGCTTCATGTTTTGATGAGATCAGGGTTGGCTGTAACACACAGACACACACACACACACACACACACACACACACACACACACACACACACACACACACACACACACACACACACACACATACACACACACATCTCTGAGAGCTGGAAACACACACATAAAATATGTTAGATATGACGTGGCTCCATCATATTTTTTAGCTGCACTCATAAAAAATGAAATAGGTTTGGTGACTAAATGTTAAAAAAGAAAAGGTGTCAGAAAACTTGTGATTTTGTATAAAAAATAAAAAGTGAATGCAGTTTAAGTCAGCCTTACTGAAGATTTGACTGATTCTTAAAATTAATTTAATAATTTGTGTTACACACACACGTGTGTGTTTGTGTGTGTGTGTGTGTGTGTGTGTGTGTGTGTGTGTGTGTGTGTGTGTGTGTGAGAGAGACACATCAATATTCGCACTTCAATGCCAACACATCCCCGTATTCTAATAAAAAATGGAGGATGTGTGTGTTGAAAACTTTGTTGCATCTTCTCATCTTGGAAAAATGAGCAGATTTTTGTTTTCGGGTGTAAAACAGTGACGCCTCCATACGTCAGACTGCTAAACGGATTTTGTTTTTGTAAGTACCAAGTCTGGACGGTTTGGTCCCTTAGGGCCACTGAGCAACAAAGCAAAGATGGCTGCATGCTTTTTTTCTCCACATTGTGACAGAGATGCACTGATCGTGTGATCAGGGATGTCTTTTTGCAGTTAAATCTGTCAGTGCACCCCAGGGCAGCTGTGGCTACATTGTAGCTCATCTCCACCAGCGTGTGAATGTGTGTGTTATTGGATGAATGATACACTGTAGTGTAAAGTGCTTTGGAGTCCTCTGACTCTGAAAGGCTCCATACAAATGTGGTTCATTTATCATTGTTTATTTAAAATAAGACTTTCCTCAGAAAGTCGCCCGTGTTCACCTCCTCTCAGCCATCTTGAACTACTTCCTGTTTTAGGTTTGGATCATCTGTTTGTGTAACGAGTTATAATTTGTTTTCAGATGTTTTCATTCTCAGACGTTACAGCATTCCAGTCTCTGACATGTGTTCTCCTCTGTGGGTTCTACTTTAAAATTCATCTGTTTTATAGGTCTTAAGTCTCTGCCTCCTGTGTTCATAATTCCAAAAAGTTCAAAAGCAGCATTTTCCAATTGTAAATAACTTTTCCCAAACCAATCATAGCTTTTGGATATATTTGAGTGCTTTTTAAAATTATTATTTAATGAAGTATTTAATTTGCAAAAAGCATCATCGTCTTTTCAATCGTCTAATGGCTAACTCATAATGTCTTCTTTAGTCTGATTCATTTATGAACCAGAATACCATTATTCATTTTATGTAAACAATTTAATTACATCTAAAACATATTTCTTGTTTTTGTGACCCGTTTAGACTCAAACTGTGTTTTCTTTGTTCCTTTAACATGTACATGTGCTAAATTAGCACTTTAATACAAAAACACATTTTTGTAGGTTTGTTGTTTATGATTAATACCAACATTGTGTCATTATTAACTCATAGAAATAATACAAAAAGTGATATGTTTTAAAAATCTACAACTGGAAAGAATACTTTTATAACTGAAAACCCATCACATCACCCTTGTATATCTTCATATATATATATTTTTCATTTACCATCAATATTTGTAGCATTTTAGGATCATTTAGAGGATTTATCTTTGAGTTCCTGCGGTAAACCCTGGTTTCATGTGGCTGACTTTTCAATAAATTCTCAAAAATAAATCGTAAAACAAAAGTCAAGTCTGTCTTAAGTGTTTCCAAATATGCAACCAAATCAGAAACAGATGTGTGTTGAAATGAGCAAAAACATTGATTTTAACTGTTTCTGATTTAGTCGTTTTTATTCTCCTCATAAACCGTGGTGTGTTTTTTTATTTGCAACAACCTCAAGTTGCAAAGTGCCCTTATTTTGACCCATGCAAATAAGGGTTCTTTAGACACACACACACACACACACACACACACACACACACACACACACACACACACACGTGGGTGTTACACAGCGCGTGTGCGCTAACACACTCACACGTAAAAAGAGGTAAAAATAAGGAATTTCAAGGAAGTGTAACAACACATCCAGTCTCCACTGCTGCAGTTTTCCAAGTTACAGCTGATTTTAACAGTTGCTTCTCTGCTTTTTCTTAAATCAGCTACAAGCTCGAACCGTCTCATCCAACATGAAGATCCCCCTCCTCTAAAAAACAACTAAAAAAATACAGCAGAGCCATCAATCATTGATACTCCTCCTCTCCCGGATCATCAGCTTCTTCATCTTCATCCTCCTGTTCTGGAACCAGATTTTCACCTGTCTCTCTGTCAGGTTTAGGAGTCCTGCCACCTCTAGGCGCCGATCTCTGGTCAGGTACATGTTATAGAGGAACTCCTTCTCCAGCTCCAGGGTTTGGTGCTTGGTGTACGGGCACCGCTTCTTCCGGGTCGACTTGGCGTGGATCCAGCTGGCTGCTGGATTTTCTGTCACAAGAAAAGATAAAGGAAGGGTGAGCCGAAGTGTGTGTGTGTGTGTGTGTGTGTGTGTGTGTGTGTGTGTGTGTGTGTGTGTGTGCGTGCGTGCGTGCGTGCGTGCGTGCGTGTGTGTGTGTGTGTGTGTGTGTGTGTGTGTGTGTGTGTGTGTGTGTGTGTGTGTGTAAAAAAACTAAACAAATAAATGGACATTATAAAAGTGACAAAATAACAAAAATCAAGACATTTAATAAAAACATGTAAAAACATTTTAAATGATCAAAACTAAAGACATGTTTGATCTTTTGGGTAACTTTTTAAACCAACAGTTTACTGTGTTGTATTTTTGGAAATGTTTGAAGTTATTTTCTAAATAGACTGAATGAAAGTCGAATTATATAAAATGTGTGACTACAACAACGTTCTTGCAAAGGATTAACGCTTTAAAGTTACATGAGTAAAATAATAAAAATAAAGTAAAGCCCCGTGATGTGATCAAACCTGCTAAATCCTCTGTGACAAATTACTGAATAGCAATGGTACCTTAATTATTTTAATGGTCAATAAAGTTTTGTATTTTAGAGTTTACAGGACATTTATTGGCCTATAAAAGTTCCACGCACTCACTTATAATCCCCTCTCACACACACACACTCCCACACAGTGAGCCACACCTGTGTGTTAACGCTGCGTAAAGCTAATAAACATTCTTGACTTTAGGGGACATATCCGTGTTTACCCGGGGCGAGCTGCGGTGTATTCCTCTCCTCTTCCTCCTTCTTCGGCTCAGCCTTCTTCCCCAGCTCCTCCGCGGTCCCTAGCCGCTCCAGGACCAACTCAGCCGGACTGGACTCGTCGGCGTTGTCGTGGGATGGCGGTGAGCTTTCGGGTTTTATTGCCTCATAGGTCGGGCTCGGATCGGAGAGGTCCCCCTGAGCGGGGAGACACGTGGGGAAGGTGGTCTCCGTGGCGGGGCTCGCCACCTCCCAACAGCGGACGAACCTACTTTCGGACGCCGCCGCGGACGCGAGGTGCTCGGCGTGGCTCGGCGCCTGTGGGTCGTAGTACGGGCGGTGGTGCAGGAGGTGGTGTGGATGGAAGAGGCCGGGGATGGACGCAGCGGGGCCGGACTGCAGCTGGGGAGACATCGAAGAAGAGGAAGACGTGTTTGTCCAGGGAGAAAACCCATTTAGGCTCGCTTTGTTGGAAAAGTGTGAAAAATCCGGGATGTTGGAGGGAGCGGTCCCCTCCTCCGCTCCGCGGGCTGGCTTTGCGCAACCGGCCGTCGAGCCCTGCAAGCCTCCCGGGATGAAATGCGCACCGTACGGCTCCTCGGTCTGGAGCCCCATCATGGAATAATAATTCGTTAGCGACATGTTTATTTTATTATTTCAATAAAAAGACACTTAAGTGCGCCTGTAAAACGCAGGATGGGCTGGTAGTAGCTTACATCCTCCCCTAAAATGGTAGTAATTTTTTTCCTGCTCTCACCGTCCTCTCGGCTGCCAATTGGTTACACCGAGGATCACATGGTTAGACTGTATTCAGTCAGTAAAGAAATAAATCACATCCGTCTTTTGTGTAGCGGGCCTGCTGCAGACGCACCTGAATGGATAATTTCATTACTGCAGTCTGAAGAGTCCAGCCTTTTATTAAACCAAGTTTAATAATAGAGAAGGAGTTTGTTTTATGATACAACGCGAGTTGAATTATCATCTTCTTGACTTGTTCCAAGTAAAGAATCATCTCAGAATGAAACTATTGTGGGATTTTCTCCATTTCTCTCAAGGTTGACAAACATTTCTGAGGCAGTTTGTTCAATCTGAGCTGAAAGCGAAACAAATCTGATCTGCCCAAACAAGACTTCTGTCAGTAGTGCCAACTGTTGTTTTGTACGGATTAAACCAAAAAGTGGCAAATAAATGTGTTTTCAGGAAAATAAAAGAAAATGGGTAAATAAAATGTTTTTTAGATAAACTAAGACTAGTGTCTTAATTTAAGTCACGTGGTTTTAAGATAAACAGGATAACATGTATTTCTATCAACTCAAGAGTTTTTTAAGAGCCAAAAAGCTTAGATTTGTTTTCTGAGTGCACATGTTCACTAAGCTGTGAGGCTAAACCAGACCTTTTTGTTTCTAAAGTATTAATGAAGAACAACCTCAGTTTGGAGAAATAGACTTTCATTCTGACAAGACATTTTGGATGAATACTGACCCCAAAACAGCTTCCATTTAAAAATATTTAGTGATTTAGTCTCATGCAAGAAGACGGACATGATAACATTATTTTGAGCAGTAATTTAAAGAGAAAAGCAAACAATACAAGTTCAGTGAAAAAGTTTAACTGCGATACATAGCAATTTATAATTTACAATATATTTAGCATGCATTTTGCTTTTATTTAAATTTCCTGCTAAATTAAATTACAACATTCCATGACTTACTAAAATATATGTGTGCTACAGCAAGTGACCCATTTCTTCTTTGGTGCTTACCAAAACCTATTTTTGAGACCAATAAATTTAAAGGGCAATAAAAGGGAAAAAATGACTTTCTTTGTTGAGAAATGAAATAATGTATGTTTACTTTGTAATTTAACATAAACACAAAGTTTCACATTTCATTTATTCCTTTTCTTTTGTTACCCATGAATAATTTTAACTTGATGAGTTGACCCACTGGACAAAAAAAAGCTTCTAAATCACCGCTCAGAATAAAAGTTGTTCCGCAGAAACCTATTTGAAATTTTTTAATCTACAGTTTTTTCTAATCTACAGTTTTAGATTAATCTTTGAACTTTTGCAGATTTTAAAAATGTGCTGACATTAAAAAAAACTGCTGAAAGTAGATTTCCCTTCTTCCTCCCTCTCTTTAACATTGGTAAAAGCTTACTGTGCAGTCATAGCGCCCCTATTGGATGGGTGAAGGAAAAACAGTTTTCCCTACATTTCAGAATAAATGTATGCAGCTTGAGGAGATGCAAACAGATTTTCGATAAAAGTAAAGTTAAAAAGAGTTAGTCAAATTTAAAATAAAACTATTTTGTTTAGTAAAATTTTACTTCCTTATGTCTTGTTTTTTGCTGAATTTTGATAATCTCGAGAACTCAGCTCAGCTTTATTTGTGCACCTAAAACACGAGTAAATCTCAAAGAGAAGAATAGAACAAAACAAAAAAGCACTGATTGTACAGTTTTAAAAAAGCAAAGGTCTATAAAATGGGGGATAGAAGAAAACAAATAGATTATAAAAATAATTAGGAGAAGAAAACTAAACTAGCATTCTTTTTATAAACTGAAAATCAAACAATGTGCAATAAAAATAACTTTTGTGTAAAAAGCAGGGAGCTTTTTGCTTCCCCTCACCCAAACTGATTCCAGAGCTGTTAGAAAAGTCAGAGGTCTGTTTCATCTGGAGTGTTTTAGTGGTGTGATAACAGGACAGAAGGATTTTAAACTGAAGCAGCCAGACATGAGTTACTTTGGAACTCACTCTGCAGCATTCTGGGTGATCTGGACATTTTTAGGGAACATATAGGAATTTCTTATGTACTTAAAAACAAAAAGTATCTGATTTTTACCCTTATCCTGAACTTTTATTTGGAAAAAATGTCTTGAAAAGTTGATGAGTGTTCATGTTGACTTTGTTCAGTTTCAACCAGATTCTCAATCATTCACACACACACACACACACACACACACACACACACACACACACACACACACACACACACACACACACACACACACACACACACACACACACACACACACACACACACACACACACACACACACACACAAGATGGACAAAAATGGAGGCAGCAGACGACCCGGATTGCCCCAATAAAGCCATCAGCGGGAGGAAACGGTGGTTATGACAGAGTGTTGGGATTGGTTTTTGGTTCAAGGTTTATTTGCAGTCTTGGACTCATTGTTTCTGCTGTCTGGACCCCCATTGCTCAAAGTCAAAAGCTACTTTGTGTTTTTCCTTCCTTTCTCGCAGCACTCTGACTCTTCTGCTCTCATGCAACGTTACTGCTGAGGTCATAAAGAGCTGCTTGATAATTCACCTTTTATTTTACAGCCTCTTTAACCGGGCCTCTGGGCGTACTTAGCTTGCTGCAAAAGGAACCGCTCGTGACATCAGGAGTTCCCTTTAATAACGCAGAAAAACTCAGACAACACGGCACCTTCAGGTCGGTGACTTTCAAAGTTTTACTCAAATGACACAAGCATTTGTGGGAAATTACAGCTGTCGAGTAAATTATTGTTGTTTGTATAGACAGTAAATATAAATATGATTTTTTCAAGTAGCACTTTTTTATAGCTTTCTAAATATTAAGAGGGGGGGGGGCACAATATACAATATCTGGTGACAAGGACCAAGGTCTATGTGTGACTAGTTGTGCTTATCAAGGATGTGTGTGTTATATATATGAGGTTGATGAGATCATAGCATGAAAATCAAAGCTGCCATATTTAACCCTCTGGAGGCAGGCGTTGCAGATTTGCAACGTTAAAACCTAGCTACCTGGTTACTCCACATACGTACTTCATGAGCATTTAACGGAGAAGTACCCCTTAGTTGTTCATCATTTTATCAAAACTTATTTTGAGCCTGAGAGGGTTAAACAAACGCCCTGAACAAGTAAAAGAAATTAGGCTACAGTATGTATATTTTTAGATAAAATCTGTAGTTTTTTTAACATAATCTTCATAATCATGGTAACAATACTAATTACAATTATAACATATATTTTGCAGTTTTAAACTAAGATTTCCATGGAAAATGAAGGATGACAGTTATTGTGCCAGCCAGTCTCGCTAGTGGTGATGATGAAGAGCAGGAAAATGACACTGAGGAAGATCGTCAAATATATAAAATTTTAAAATATTCTAATAATCTATATTTGATCAGAAATTGAATCCATTGTTCAATAACTTTCAAAAATATTCAACAGTAATCTTTCTATAAAAATATATTGTTTAATAAATGTGATATATTATGTGTTAGTCTACTGTGATATAATGTTTTAAAATTTGCTAGATTATTCTAAAGCATCTTATAATCATCTATATTATTCAAAAATAATGTTTATAACTTCTTCATGTCTTTTTTCTTGGATTTATTTTTACCAGAATAAGGCCAACATCCACATTTGAGCACTTTGTTTTCTCAGATTTTCTGCATGAAAACAAATAGTTTGGAAAATCTTATATATCACAATACCACCCTGGGTTGACATTTTAAAATTCTAACTACTTCAATGAGTGCCCTATAAAGGGTTTAGGGTTAAGGTAAGGCTGAGACATCCAAGATATAAAACAGAACACTATCCCCTCTGCACTAAGAACTCAGTTTAACTGGTACTGGCATTATCCTGGTACCAGATGTATGTTTATGTTTATTTATTTGGCAGACACTTTTATCCAAAGTGACTTACAATTTATAACCTTATAGGGCATGTTGTGATCTGTGGGGGACACCGGAGTACCCGGAGGAAACCCACGCATGCATGGGGAGAACGCGCAACTCCACGCAGAAAGGCCGCAGCTGAGTTTCGAACCTGCAACCTTCGTGCTGCGAGGCAACAGTGCTAACAACTGCGCCACCGTGCAGCCAATACTATACTATATTACTATAGATGTATATTAGTATGTTGTGTACCTTATGCTGCAGTTCTGAAAATGCAAGTTTCCTTTTTATTTGTTGCTTTAGTGGTTGAAGATTACGATAACAGCTTACTGCATGTGCTTTACTGTAATCGTATTATTATTTTCTTCTTTATTATCTCTATGTGCTAACGAGTGAAATTCCCTATGGGATCAATAAAGTCTGTTTTCGATTCTATTCTATAATTTGATGAGTCAAACTGCACATGAGCTTCTGAGATCAAGATTTCTTGCAACCTTTTATGAAACTGACAAAACAAGGGTTTTGGATTCAAGAAACATTCGTGTCAAGGACGAGGACAGAAACTCTCCTCTTCAGCGATTGAACAGCTCAGCATCACTTCCTGGTCTCCGGTGGGACAGAGGGGAAAATGAACAGATGGAGGGCTGGTTTAGTGTTAGATGACATGATGTGAATCACTGCCATGGGTGGTTTTTATGGAAAAGTACATTTTGTTGCTGTACAAAATCAGACAGTGGACACCTGCTGGTTCCCAATCCCTGAATCATCACAGAAAATCATCACATTTACACTTTTAAGCTTCAGATGAGGAGAAATAGGATTATGTGAGATTTTAAAAGAGTCAGAAATCCATTTGGAAAGAGATCATTTAGCAAATTTATGAAGTCATTAAACAAGAAATTACGTTCTACAAAATCTGTTTTTCGTGTATTTCTTTAACATCCAGCATTTGTGGACAGAAATGTTTTTTAAAAGCTCCCATGACCAATAAGACGTCTCATGAAGGCTTTAATAATTTACTGTACTATAAGCTCTTGTTTCTGGCTCCAAAGCAGCACCTCTGACCACTTCCACCTATAAATTAATTACAGATTCTGATTGGATAATAAATCAAAGACCTGCAGCTACCCCTCCATCATTGCGGCCCAAGTTTTATATTCCCTTTAAGCTTCTAAAATATAATTAAAAAAAAGTTTCAAAAACGAAGCAAAATGCAGATTTTTGTTTTATTGATGAAACACATGAGCTCATGTTTTCATCACGTGGTTAATAGTTTTAGAAGAATAAAACAACTCAAATGTGGAAAAGTCATTTTCATTAATTGAATTACATTCGTAATAAAGTCTGTGAGAGTTTTGAAATAAATAATTTTAATCAAAATGGGTAAGTATAGATTATTCAAATCTAGATTTAGCCGTTTTAAAGACGCAATCATAAGCCTAATAACAATTTTAAATTTTATTTAGGCTACGTTAAAGTTAATTGCCTAAATTTGGATTTTTTTAAATAATTTGTGGAGAAGTGCGCTGCAAATATTTGACAAAAACAACAGCAGCAGCAATAATAATAATAATAATAATAATAATAATAATAATAATAATAATAATAATAATAATAATTTCCTGAATCAGCATTCTTTACCTGCTGGAAGAGCGGAAGGCCGATCAGGGACGCACATCCGCTCCAAAGTGTTCAATTCTCCTGTACTAATCAGGAACTGCCGCCCCGGTCCGTTCAACACTTAAATCATGAATAACACTATTAACATACATTTTTATCTTCATAAAGATATATAATAATACATTTTATAAAATGAGAGCAGAGGGGATTTGTTTTGACTGGAGAAACAAATCTGCGCGTAGCAAAAAATAATATAGCAAAACGTTGAATGAAGAAAGTGCAATACGGAAAGTAAGATCAACGTGAGCAGATCATTTGAAAGGCCTTTGAGCGCATATAATTCTATATAATATAATAATTATATATACAATTTCACATCAAAGCAAAAATCCATTATTATTGTCATTTAGATTTTTAAAACAAACTATCTGATTCGGTTGTTTTGAAATGGCTAAATGTGCATCAGTCTGTTTATTGAATCGTTTAGGATCATTTTTATTTTAATTTTATTTGTTTTAATCGTCTGTTTGTTTCGGAACAAAAGGAATCAGAGCGCAGTCGTTTTGAGACACATTCTGATTTACTTGCGGTCAGTGAGAGAAAAGCAACATTAGCATCAGGATTACTCATCAGCTGTGATATATATATGAAGAGTAGAGGCGAGTTTTATTAGACTCGTACTCTTCAGACACCAGAGGAAACTCTGGACGTTCCAGCTGAAGGCCAAATGGCTGCACGTCACAGCCAAAGCCGTAATAACAGCTCAGCTGGGAGCCGAGAAAAGCTGCTGAATGAGATTGAAACACCACAAACTTCTGATGGACTCAAAAACAGAAGAGCTCGACTAAAATCACAATGATTAAAAAAAGCATGATTTTTAAGATGAAACTTAGAAATGATTCAGAAGGTTAGTTATTAGGACTTAAAAACAAGATTTTTTTCAGCATAAAAATTAGAATTTGTTACATGTCCGTTGTTAATTTGATAACTAAACTAAAACTAGTGAAAGCTTCTTAACTCAGAAATATATTGATTTTGGATAGGCATTTCTGCCTTCACTTAAAAACAAAGAGTAATAAGTTATTGAAACTTAACGTTGTATAATAATAAGCTGGTGCAGCGTCACGTGTGCATTGAGTGAAACCGTCCACCCATTTTCTGAACCCGCTTTGTCCATGCAGGGTCGCGCTGGTGCCTAACTCCAGCGGTCAACGGGCAATCAGGCGGGGTACACCCTGGACAGAGACCGGTCCATCGCAGGGCAACACAGAGACACACAGGACAAACAATCATGCACACACACACACACACACACACACACACACACACACACACACACACACACACACACACACACACACACACACACACACACACAATTTAGACAGACCAATCAACCTAACATTCATGTTTTTGGACTGTGGGAGGACGCCGGAGAACCCACGCATGCACAGGGAGAACATGCAAACTCCTGCAGAAAGATCCCAGGTCGGGAAGCGAACCCAGGACCTTCTGGCTGCAAGGCAACACAAGTGAAACCAAAGAGTGAAACGAAACTAACGGCCGTTTTAAACGAACGATGGCTGCACTTGACCGCAGTTTACAAATCGAGCGCACCTCCTACTGACTTTGTAGCTATTTCTAACTTTTCTGATCCCCCTCTTTGACGTTTTTTCTGAAAGTAGCTAGCGAACAACCTAGAAACATTTCTGGTATCCCTTAGCTACATTATAGATAACTGTCGTTGATATTTCCTGCAGGTTAGCTAAACACTCGTGGAATCTCGTTCGCTAATGAAACGGGTGACAGAGACACACTGTACCCACAGGCTCTTGAGCCACTAAAAAAACAGAAACAATGTATGCGCGCTGCACACGCACAGGTAGAGTCATTGCCGTGAGACTGGGAGAAGGGTGTGTGCGCGTATGTGTGTGGGGTGTGGGTTGCAACGCACCTCCGATCGCTGTGAAAGCAGGAAGAGATGGCACGCACAAAATGTCTGGGACCAAGGGCGTAGGCAAGGGCGTAACGAGTTTAATATTGGGGGGGGGGGCACATTTTGGAAATCTAACACATCTAACAAATCTGTTGTAGGTCAACTTCACTGAAAAAAATACATTTAATGATTATTTCTGATTCTAAAGTGTCACTGAGTGTTTCATGCAGGCTGAACATGAACATAGTCTCCTGCCGCTATCTCCTGCTTTAGCTTCTGATAGAAAATCTGATAGACGGTGAAATTCTAGGATTAGAAAAGTCTGATAGATGTGACTCTGGGTGTAAGGCAAAGCCCAGAAAGACAAGAAAATAACGTTTATAGCCCAGTTCACTAACATTCTGTTGTTGTTTTTTTGATCGGGGACCCATGAGCCAGCCAGAAGGGGAGGAGACTTAGGCTCCCCATTAGCCAGATCCAGGTGACTACAGGCCAACGTGGACGTTTTAATTATAAAAAAGCTGTTTATGTGTCAGTACTGTTTTATTTTTATTTAATAGTATGAATGTAGGATATATTATCTTATTCATATGGGTAGAGATGTGTAAACAGATTTAATACAAGACTAAAACTGTGAATATTCAGTCTGAATTGATCTGACTCATCAGAATATTTTAAACTACATCAGCCAACAATGCTGACCAACAATCAGAAAAATCTGTTTGCTTCTGACAGAATGAAAAAAGAAATAATTCACTCACAACAACAGCTGGAACTGCGTTAATTTTCAGATGGACAAAAGAAACAAACAGTGGCTAAAATTGCAGTCTAAATGCACCAGAAAGCAGAGTTTAACACTTATTTTTCTAATATTTCTAAGGAAGCATTTATTTTATTCTTAAACCGTACTGCCCAGCCCTACTTGTTATGGGATTACATTCAGTATATTTAACTGTGTTCACTTATTATTACATTCAAATCTTCCTCTCATCAACCTAAAACCATCTCATTCTTCACTGTAGCACCTCAGCTGGTTCCGATTCACGTCATTTCAAATGGTGCCTCGTTTCGGTACCCGTTCTTCATAACGAGAACTTGCCAAGACAGCTGCGCATGCGCTAGAGCGTTGTAACGTGAGGAAATATGGGTTTTCTGTGCCAAAGGTCATTTGACTCAGCTGGGTCAAGAGCTGGGTCGCTGAGAACTTTCACCCACAGATTAAGACCTGAACGCCAACGAGTCTGGGAGAAACCATCTGAGCACCTGCAGTGCCAGAAGATGTGTTCCCATGGAAAAGCTAGTCATAACATAACATAAAGTCTTAAACTTCCTTTCCTTTATATTAAGTTGTTACATGATCAGTATTATCACTTTGCTCATTATAAATGTGTTTTAATCAAATGAATGATTATTATGCTTTGGGTAATCATAACTATAATGAATCCATACTTAATTAAATAATGTTTGAAGATGTTTTAGTGGTGACCTTCACACACTCAAACACTCACACACACACACTCTCTCACAGTAAACTCCAAAACACATTTGCTCTGACGCACACGTTTTGCTTTGAGAAGAGAAAGGCTTTTGGTAAGTTTCAGTCTTATGATTCAGTTCGAGTTGGTCAACGAGAGAGAGTGGACGTGTGAACAACCGCTAACGGGGGAACGGAGCCCACCGGCTCCTTTCTCCCTCCCCTCTCACGCTGTTCCTGCCAAGCCAGACAGGAATAGCTGAATTACAATCGCTAACGCAGACTCGCCCAGAGTCTTTGATTTTCTGAGTAATTAAACTTAAGAAAGCGCATCTGCAAACGCTTTATCATCAACGTGTACCAGGGGCATCTCTGGACCGGACCGGTGGACACCTTCGTCTTCTCTGCCAGCCGAGGTGACCTGGATGAAACATCGTCCGTTGACGTTCCGGATCTGAACGAGGGTCCTCGTAGGGTGAGGCAGTCCACGATAGATAGCGTTGATGCATCTTTTTCAACAAAACCTAAGTTTATTCAAACCATCACCTTTCACTCAGACACCTGTTTCTTCCTGAAGCAAAATCAGACGCACACACGCATTCATATCACCTCATTTTCAATTTTCACTACACTTTGCACACACGCATCCATAATCACATCACATCACTCTCAATCTTCAGCACCTCCAACACAAGGTCTATTTGAGCAAGTTTACAATATCAACTGTTAAAGATTGTTCAACAAAGTTGCCAATGTTGATTGTTGTTCCTATGCTTGTCATTTCAAAATCATTAGTTTAATTTGAAGAATTAAATCTTTTAACTTTCAAACTTGTCTCTTCATTGAACTGAAACGCAGACCCACGGATATTATCGACAGTTTATTGATGAAAACAACCTTTGAGTCTTCTTAAAACTATAAAATAGTAAAAAGTAGGATGGTTCCTCTTTCATAAAAGTGAATAAACCATTACTCTACATAATTAAAAGAGCCTAATCAGGTCACTACAGCGTTATGTCGTCGCTCGCTGCGAGCCAGTTGTAAACAGAGCAGCATGGTGGAAAGAACGCACGCTAAAGCTTGGGTCCACTTCACTAAATGTGATGGGTAACTGGGTGATGATGAAACCAGCAACAACGATCTAAGTGAGACATTCTCATTTTAATCTGCTCCGGTAGGTAAATAAAATGTTTAAGATAACGTTAGCTTGATATGTTAGCTTCTGTTTCGCTAATGGTGCGTTCGGTTTCTCCTCGGAACTCCGAATTTCTGACTAGAAGAACATGAACGCGCTTTAAAGTTTAGCTTCACTTTACTAAATGCGACGGGCGATTGGGTGAAGATGAAACCAGCGACAACGATCTAAGTGTGAGGCATCATCGTTTTAATCTGCTCCAGCAGTTAAATAAACTGTTTAAGATAACGGTAGTTTGATATGTTAGCTTCCATTGCCACCATCGTTATCAGCTAATGGTGTGTTTGCTTTCTCCTGGGAAATTCCAACTTCCCAGTAAAAAAAATCAAATGAAAAAGGACAGCCAAAGGAATGAAGATACACAGTAAATTTAGTTCACAGTAAAGATGTTTGCTTCAGTTTAATTATCAGCTTATAAAACTACAAGGACGATGTTAAAATATAAACAGTTGTATGTTATTTATTGTGATATTTATCAAATATGGTTATATATTGAGAAAAATATATATTTAATTATAAAAGTGAATTAAAATATTAAACACTCAAAAGTATCGAAAACTGGTACCGTTAAGTACCGGTATCGATTCCTAGGTACCGGGAATTAGTACCGAATCTATTCAGATGTCAAAGGTACCCATCCCTAGTTTCAAGTAAGTGAAGTTAGAACTGGAGCATTTAATCCCAGAACTACACAAGAACACAGAGAGCATATTAAGACAGCACAAGGAGATAATGGTCAATCACGCTGTTGTGGGGTAATGGGACAGTGCCCACTGACTGACAAACTAAGATATTTCGATGTTTTGTCTGGCTACCCACCTGATTTGTTACATGACCTCTTTGAAGGTATTGTACCTTTAGAATTAGCACTGTGCCTAAATGCCTTAATCAAAGAGAAATACTTCATGCAAGAGGAAATAAATAAATAAATTAAAGAATCCCATACCAATGGTCAGATAAAACAAATGCACCACAAACTTTTCCAGCGACCCTTGCTGCAAGAAAAACTGTGGGTGGGAATGGCCATGAAAATTGGGCTTTGCCCCGGTTTCCGGGGGTTAGGGCTAGTTTGACATTTGTGGGTGCAATGGTGTCAAGGACTTCAAGCGTTTTGCAGTTGAAGTTATTTAAAAGTGAATCAGCACAGCTGGTTGTCAGACTTGTTGATGTATTCATGCGTTCTATAAAAAAAGCAGTGTGAGCACCCAGATACCTTTGTTTGAGAACAACTGATGTGTGATGTGTAGCAGATGAAATGGTTATCTCAGAAAAAACACAGAAATGGTCAGATAGACCCACGTCCTGAACAACAATGTTCAACACATCCACATCTTTTATGATTAAGTTGAGAGTTTGTCCCAGATCGTGGGTTTGATTATGGACATTTTGTTGAAGATCAAATAATTTGAGCACCCCAAGAAATTGTTCTGCAGATTTGTCATTAGCATCATCAACATGAATATTAAAGTCACCCGTTATGAGAAGTTATTTAACAGTCAACTTAAACATATAATTAACAAAACATATACAAAAGAAAAAGGATATTTTCCAATGAAATTGCCATTATTTGTGCATGCATGTAAAACAACTGAGAACATGAATTTAAGAAAATGTTTTATTCCAGCTCGTTTCTGAGAGCCTGTAGCTTAGGTTGAAGTTGCTTTTTTCCAGCATTCAGATTTAAACGATGACATGGATAAAATGAGCTTTTCAGAGTTGCTCTTTTGAAGATTATGCATCAGTCCAAACCAAATCAGCAGTGAATCTGGCTGGGATCTGTGGAACAGCCTCAAGGGCAAAGGAGGACACATGGAGACTCTCAAAGGGAACTTCAGCAGAAGGCTCTTCATTTACAGCTGCCTCCAACTCCCCCTGAAAATGTATACATGTTCAGTAAAATCATACTTAAAAAACTAAAAGGTTAAATAAGCACCACAACTTTGCATGTAAGTAACTCTCTTCTGGGGGGAATGCAAAGATTTCATCAACAAGATTTGTTTTTTAAATAAGCTATTTGTCTTTTCCAAAGAAATGTCCCAAATAAAAGAAAATTATACCAAATCACAAATTACCTTGTAAGTGTAACGGATGTCCAAATCCTCCTTCAGGTGCAGTAGCAGGTCAGCCAGGGCTTGCTGTTCATTCTTGTCCTATTGGCTAAAAATAGGTTGTGATTGTTTAGTATTTTTTGCAATCAGCCTCTGTTAAGGATATCTGAAGAATTTTTTTTTTTACCTGTTCTCAAAAGTCTTCATGAGTTTTTTCATCTTGCCTGAAATTCCAGTCCTCCTCTTTTTGTGCAGCGTCATGCAGAGGTGAGTATGGGATTAGATTTGTGCCAATAGGATCAAGAAAAACATTTTGAAGATCAAACAAATATTAAGACATTGAGAGAAAAAAAATTGTTTCAAAAGAAAAACTTACGATCTGAATCAGATTCTTAAAATGATCAAGAAAAACACTTTGACGGTCAAACAAAATTTAAGAAATTGACAGAACAAAAATATTGACTGTAGGAGCCATTTATTTTGTGGGTTGGGCTTTCATCAGTGGTGGCGGTGGTGTCGGGTGCGTCACATGTGATTTAAGTGGGTCCTCAGGTGTTTCGAGAGAGCCGATTACGCATGGGTGGCGGGATGAGCAAACGGTTTTTACCGCTCGCGACACCATGGCACGATATACTTCCTTTTTGTGACGATCAACTGGGAGCACTACTATCCTTGAAACCGCATCATGTAAAACGCCAGCTAAATGCTTGTAAAAGAAAATAAACAAGACTAACGCACAGACAAAAAGAGGTTTGATTTATGAATAGAAGCGCGTCAGAAGCCGCCTCCGCCCTCACCCAGCTGGCTGACAACAGGAAGTGTCAGCACATTGACTAAAGGAAAAAAAATGTTTCACAAGGAGCAGGCAGAACTACGAACTTGTTTAGCCCGTCCAAGTAACATGGAATAAAAATGAATATGTTAAGATGAGTTTTTAATACGTCTTTCTGGAACAATAGACCATTGTCCTGAGGCTAGCACAATGGCTTGCTTAGCAGCTAGCTGGTGAGCTAACGTCTGGTTAAAACCAACTTAAAAAGTGGCTTAACTCACAGATTAACTAAGAAAAGATAAAATATATTATCAATACTCACTTTAGATCCTTAGTAGACACCACAGACAGCAGAAATAACGTGTTTGGGGCTCAAAATTCATGTTGTTGACCGAGGTGGGGGAAAAAAAGTCTTGGAGGCTACATCGCTTCCAGGTCACTGAACTGTCACTCAAGAGAAACCACTGTCCTATGGGAGAGGACTTCTCAGAAGTCCCACTCACCCGAAAGGGTTGTGTCAGAATTGCAACCAAAAACTCAGGGATTGTAAAGGAGAAAGCCAGACAGTGTAAGTGCAAATCAGCGAGAACGAAACTAAGAAAACTGATAACGAAAACATATAGAGGCAAACAGAAAAAGGAAACATACTTTGTTACTCATTTTAAGAAGTTGATTCAGATAGTAAGTTTTACTTTTGAAACTTTTTTTTCCCCTTTAGTCAATATTTTTGTTCTTTCAATTTCTTAGTTTTTGTTTGATCTTCAAAATGTTTTTCTTGATCCTACTGGCACAAATCTAATCCGATACTACAGGTCCAGTCAATAAGGAATATTGCAGATTTTGATTTGTGATCCAATGGAGATCCGTGTAGAGCTGCGTGGGTAAAAGCAAAACATTTACATGCTATTAGACACCGCATTTGAAGAAACCAAGTAAAGCTTTATTATTCAAATTTTGGTCCATAACGTTGATTCAAAGTTGTTATTTTAACTAGGCTATTAACCAGCAGCTTTGTAAAAGACTGTTGAATCTTATTGTTTGAAAAAGAATAAAGTGCAAGACAAACATCATTTTTAAAAGAGACAGGGAATATAAATAGTAATAGCAAACTTATACCTTGATTCCCAATCACTGCAAAATCAAAGTTCAACATCCTTGTCAGTAAGAGGGACCGCAGTGGTGCTTCACAGTGTGGGCCTTGGTCAGCTCTTGGTCTGGAAACTCCTCTGAAAAATAGGAAATAAAGTAGACATCTTAAAACATGACAAATAAATCAAACATTGTTTAGTATTATAGTACTCAGAGTTTCTGTACCTCACATTATGTTTGTGCAAACAAAGGCCCACTTAAGAGAAATACCCTTTAGATAGAAGTGATTGACATATTAACTCATTCCAATTAGCAGGTTACATTTCACTGTAATAGGCCGATGCCTTCAATTTCAAATAAAAACAGATTTTGTTCCTAGAATACAGTGTAGTAAAAATCTTTGTCTTTTAAATTATATCAGAATGTCTTCACTGCACTGTCACTGAGAGGCTGTCATATATTAACATACCACTTTCCAAAGAGATTGTCTTGTACTGTATTACCAACTTTAGGCCAAACAACTCTTTGAATAACAGTTTAACAACACTCAATAGCATTTTGATAAATAAAAATGCTAAAGTAAAATTCTAAAATACTTTCACGTTTCAACCACAAAGCTTACCATACCATACCATACCACTTTATTTATATAGCTCTTTCAACACGGCATTACAACCATACAAAGCGCTGCACAAAAAACAAGCAAGAAAACACAAGTAAAAATAGTCAGGTAGATGGAAAATGTAAAAAGGAGCAAAATAAATATAAACAACAGACTATTAACAGTAAAAGCAAATAAAACCAGAATATAAAAACACAAAATTAAAACTGAATTGACTAGGTGGGACAATGTGTCATGCACGCCGGTGGACGAAACGGAGACGAGGTGAGGATCCAAACGCAGATGAGACAAACAGGCAGGCAAATAGGAATGATGAACATAGGTTTATTGAGCACGCTGACACTGGATCAATGATCCGACATGAAACACAGAACAGAAGGGGTTTAAATACACGAGGAGCGGGAGCTAGGGTGATTGGGAAACAAGAGGCAGGTGGGAGCAATTAACGGAGACAGATTAAAACATAAGGGGAGACAGGACAGGGTGTGACAGTACCCCCCCCCCCCCCCCCCCAAAAGGGCGGATCCCAGATGCCCACAAGAACAAGGAGCAGGGCGGGAGGAGGGGGACCCGGAGGGAGGGCCCAGAGGAACCGAGGGACAGATGGAGATGCGGCAGGGATCAGCAGAGTCCGGGGGCCTGCGCCTGCGGCAGATGAGGTGACGGGCCCTTGGAGGCCGGCGCCTGCGGCAGAAGAGGAGGCGACGGGCCCTTGGAGGCCGGCGCCTGCGGCAGAAGAGGAGGCGACGGGCCCCTGGACGCCGGCGCCTGCGGCAGAAGAGGAGGCGACGGGCCCCTGGAGGCCAGCGCCTGCGGCAGAAGAGGAGGCGACGGGCCCCTGGAGGCCGGCGTCTGCGGCAGAAGAGGAGGCGACGGGCCTCTGGAGGCCGGCGCCTGCGGCAGAGGAGGAGACGAGGACGGACCCTTGGGGGCCTGCGTCTACGATAGAGGAGCTCTGCAGGCTGGGCCGGTGACAAAGTCTCTGCGGGCTGGGCTGCTGACAAAGTCTCAGCGGGCTGGGCCGGAGCGGCCTTCAAAACCACCATCGGAACTGGAGACTGTGGAGACGTTGGACTGGACGGAGCGTCGACCTCTTGAGTGCAGACAGCATCCTCAGACGAGCCGACTTCAGACGAGGCGACGTCATTAGACGAGCCGACTTGGGAGGCAACGTCATCGGACGAGCCGACTTGGGAGGCGACGTCATCGGATGAGCCGACTTGGGAGGCAACGTCATCGGACGAGCCGACGTCAGAGGAGGAGGCGACGACATCGGACGAGCCGACTTCAGAGGAGGAGGCGACGACATCGGACGAGCCGACTTCAGAGGAGGAGGCGACGACATCGGACGAGCCGACTTCAGAGGAGGAGTGGACGTCATCGGACGAGCCAACTTCAGAGGAGGAGGCGACGTCATCGGACGAGCCGACTTCAGAGGAGGAGGCGACGTCATCAGACGAGCCGACTTCAGATGGGGTGGCGACGTCATCAGACGAGCCGACTTCAGATGGGGTGGCGACGTCATCAGACGAGCCGACTTCAGAGGGGGCGGCGACGTCGTCAGACGAGCCGACTTCAGAGGAGGAGGTGACGTCGTCAGACGAGCCGACTTCAGAGGAGGAGGTGACGTCGTCAGACGAGCCGACTTCGGAGGGGGCGGCAACGTCATCAGACGAGCCGACTTCGGTGGGGGCGGCAACGTCATCAGACGAGCCGATTTCGGTGGGGGCGGCAACGTCATCAGACGAGCCGACTTCGGTGGGGGCGGCGACGTCATCAGACGAGCCGACTTCGGAGGGGGCGGCGACGTCATCAGACGAGCCGACTTCAGAGAGGGCGGCGACGTCATTAGACGAGCCAACTTCAGAGGGGGCGGCGACGTCATCAGACGAGCCGACTTCAGAGGAGACGTCATCAGAGGAGACGTCATCAGACGAGCCGACTTCAGAGGAGACGTCATCGGGCACGTCGACTTCAGAACAGGAAGGGGCGTCGACTTCAGAACAGGAAGGGGCGTCGACTTCAGAACAGGAAGGGGCGTAGACTTCAGAACAGGAAGGGGCGTCGACTTCAGAACAGGAAGGGGCGTCAACTTCAGAACAGGAAGGGGCATCGACTTCAGAACAGGAAGGGGCGTCGACCACAGGACCAGATCGGGGGTCGACCACCATCGACTTCTGGTCCGGGGGCGTCGACTTCTGGTCCTTCGATTTTCGTACCGTAGACCTCTGGACCACTGGTCTCTGGACCGGAACCGGAACAGTCTGCTTCTGGCCCGGAGGAGTCGGCTTCTGGACCCCCGACTTCTGGACTGGATCCGGTACCGTCTGCTTCCAGGTCGGTACCCTCTGCCTCTGGGCCCGCTCCCTCGGCTTTTGGGCCGGTGGCAAAGCCGCTGCTGGGAGAGCTTGGAATGATGAGGAGAGGAGGGAGGTCAGCTCCTCCAGCTGTAGCTCCCTGAGGCTGAGCGTCCGACGGAGCTGGACCAGCTCAGCCCGCTGACCGGCGAGCTCCGCTGGATGAACCCCGGGCTCGCTCCTCTGGCCCTGAGACAAGGAGGCCAGAGCATCCAGATGAGGCTCCTGGCGGCTCATGAGCTCGCGGAACCGGCCGAGCTCTGCCTGGAGCTCTATCAGCCAGGCTGCGATCGCTCCATCTGCAGACGACGGGGGCGCCGATGGGACCGGTGATGGGACTGCTGGCCTGACCGGGGGCGGGTACAACGCGCTGAGTCGGGCAGGGGCAGCAGCGAGTCCGCAGCTCCGCGCCGGGACACAGGGCTGCGGTGGAGCTCGGCGTTCTTCTCCACGCCGCGGACCAACTCCGGGGGAACAGACCGCCAGTCTCGTGCCCACGAAACTGGAGCGATCTGGCAGCGGCTCCCGGTCCAAACATTCCTCCGGTTCCGGGAGGACAGGGAGGAACGCCGCGGCCGAAGGTCGGCGATGCCGGCGGCAGGCGAGGCGGAGCTGGGGCTGGAGAGGGAGAAGCCGGCTGGTGGGTCGGGGTAAGCCACTGGAGCAGGTTCTCCCAAGGCAGAGTCTCCCGGCTGGATCCATCAACGGGTTCGGGTCGGATCATTCTGTCATGCACGCCAGTGGACGAAACGGAGACAAGGTGAGGATCCAAACGCGGGTGAGACAAACAGGCAGGCAAATAGGAATGATGAACATAGGTTTATTGAGCACGCTGACACTGGATCAATGATCCGACATGAAACACAGAACAGAAGGGGTTTAAATACACGAGGAGCGGGAGCTAGGGTGATTGGGAAACAAGAGGCAGGTGGGAGCAATTAACGGAGACAGACTAAAACATAAGGGGAGACAGGACAGGGTGTGACACAATGGATGAGCTAAGGAGTTATGGAATTAGGGATCGAATGCGTGAGTGAAGTAGAGGGTGTTCAGAAGAGATTTAAAGACGGCGATAGAGGAAGCTTGCCTAACCTGCAGTGGTAATGAGTTCCATAACTTTGGGGCACAGACTGAAAAAGCCCTTTCCCCACGAGTCTTCAAACGTGCCTTAGGGACAGTTAAGAGGAGTTGATCTTCAGACCTAAGAGCACGAGGAGGGTGGTAGAAACAACAGAAGTGACATTAGGCGACAGATAGTTGAGGTCTGGTTGCTGGGCTGCTCTAACACTAGTTGGACTAAAAATGATTACCTCTGTTTTGGAGTCGTTCAGATGTAGGAAGTTGTCAGCCAACCATTGCTTGACTTCGTGAAGACAATTGAACAGAGGTTTAGTGGAGTCTTTGGGTTTCAGTGAAAAATAAATTTGACAATCATCTGCATATAGATGGTAAGACACTGCATGCTGTTTGAGAACAGCTCCCAAGGACAGAATATAAATACAGAACAGTAACGGGCCGAGGATGGAACCTTGAGGAACCCCCCATGGAAGGGAGAGTGTTTCGGATGAATAATCATCCAGCATGACCCTAAGGGACCTGTCATGGAAGTAAGACCTAAACCAGTCCAGGGCCGAACCTGAGATGCCAGCTCAAGTCCGTAGTGTAGAGATCAAGATGTTGTGATCAACCGTATCAAAGGCTGCAGATAGATCCAGAAGCACCATAACCACATGGAACCCTGAATCTAATGCCAGAAAGATGTCATTAAACACCCGAACAAGAGCAGTTTCAGTGCTGTGCTGTTTTCTGAACCCAGACTGAAACATGTCCATTACCTGATGGTCATTAAGATGTATAAGTAACTGTTCGTACACTACTTTCTCAAATACTTTAGATAAAAATGGTAACTTAGAGATTGGACGGAGATTAGAGAATTTGGCAGGATCCAGACCAGGTTTTTTTCAGCATTGGCTGCACAACAGCGTGTTTAAAGTCACGAGGAACCACAGCCGAGGTCAAGCTACCATTAATAATATCCAGCACATATTGCCCAATCAACGGAAATACCTCCTTCAGGAGACGAGGTGGAACAACGTCATCTGGAGACCCCGATAGCTTCATGGTAGCAATAGCTTTTTCCAGACAAGACAGAGAAATGGGTTGAAAACTATTAAATAAGCCATGAGTGGGAATG